TTTGGTTTTTTCAGGGTAGTGGCATTCGTATTGAAATATATTGTACATGACTTGTATATATTTTTAAACCAAATGAATAAAAAATGTAAAATAAAAAAAACGCCAAGGACTATCAAGTAATTTCGAATATTTAATCGTAAAACTATTTAAAATCTCACTGACAACAAATTAGCTTGATTTACCATTATGTAATACAACAAAACTAAACCATGGTTTAACGAACGTGTTAGCTATGAATTCTGAGCGAAAAATTGCGTGGTTTAATGAAAATATGACTGGTTTTAGCCACGAGATTTTTTATTATTTCCAGGACAAATTATATGACTTACTAAAAATACGACAGTTTTGTTTAATTATTTCTCAGGCAGATTTCATTGTTCAATAAAAATATGACTAGTTTTAGCCATGTGTTTTTAATTATTTCACAGGCAGATTCCATTGTTCAATAAAAATCGACTAGTTTTAGCCATGAGTTTTTAATTATTTCACAGGCAGATTCCATTGTTCAATAAAAATATGACTAGTTTTAGCCATGAGTTTTTAATTATTTCACAGGCAGATTCCATTGTTCAATAAAAATACGACTAGTTTTAGCCATGAGTTTTTAATTATTTCACAGGCAGATTCCATTGTTCAATAAAAATATGACTAGTTTTAGCCGTGAGTTTTTAATTATTTCACAGGCAGATTCCATTGGTTAATAAAAATATGGTCGGTTTTATGGTCGTTAATTTTGTATTAGAATTATTCACTGCCTTCTTCGTTTTTTGTCATTATGTTTCATATTTGTGGAAATAAAAATATTCTAAAAAACATTTTATACGAAATATATAATAGGTTTTATAAATCAGAAGTATTGTTTCGAAAGTTAATTTTTTTTTTTTTTTAAATAGTTGTAACCTTTAACGTTTATCTCTCTAACGCTCGAAGCTGAGATGGCGCTCTCGGTGTTTGTCAACCGAACAACAACTGTTTTATGGTATCTTAAGATATTAATCCGGTCCTGTATTTTTTGACCTATGACCCACACAATGACATTTGCATTGTGCATTTGAATTTACTTAAGTAGCCGCTTAAAAAAACTGGCTTCTTTTTGATTAAACCTAACTGTCGAAATAATTGAATGAATATATTTGTATATTCAAAACCTATGTATTAGAATATCGATATCACAGAATATATCGAGAACTTAAATCCTAAAAGCCTACTGCACTGATTCGTTATATAGGGCAGGCGTGTGTTGCATGTCAGAAGGTCCAAGGTTCGAGGTCGCGATATAACGCTGAACACGCTCAATACTTTCAGCTGTAAGCGTGTTATAAAACTGACAGTCAATCCAGCTATTCCATTAAGATAGGCTGTGTAGGGGTGGGTGCTGCTAACTGCTTATCTTCCTTCTGTTCAACAGGAGGATTATACCTGAATTTTGGCATCTTTGACCCGGGCATTTAGACAGTGGATGACAGAAATGTGTTGTTCAAGTTACACATATTAAATGCCGACCACAAACTTCTACATTACGTCACAAATACCGAGAATTCCAATACTTAAAGGTATTTATCTTCAAAGTTTTGAACATGCACACATCAGTTCTTCATAAATACGATTAACCATCCGGTTTGCATTATTTTAATCACTGTAACATGTACATGATAAGCTTAAAAATACGCGATGACCGGAAATTACGTTGAAAAAATATATATCCAAACAAGTTATTTTCGAACACCTTTAATATTTGTTAAACTAATAGACAGAGAGTATTATATGATACTCAGTTCACACCTCGTATTCTACGTTATAAACTCAGATTTCAAAGGGAAAGCCCCCCCCCCCCCCCAGTAGCACAGCGGCATGTCTGTGGACTTACAACGCTAGAAACCGGGTTTCGATAGCCCTTTGTGCTTAACCACAAACAAATCATAGGGTAAAAATTATGATGTTTTGGTGATACAGGGTTGTACCCAATAGGTACCCAATGCATTTCTTTAGATAGCCGTTAGTTAGCTATTAGAATTATACATTTAAACAGTTTTTTGTGTTTTTCTTTATGAACCGCGTGAATTATAATTATTTACAAAACTCATGAATTAACATTTTTCTAAATGATAATACTATTGGATTTTCGTCTTTATAGGAATGTAGCGAACCTTTTCACTTGTTGGATAACACTAATAGATCAGAGACAACACACAATATTTTGTATGTTCTTTTTACACGTGTCATTCGTACTATACGGTGTACAAGAGGCCTTGACGGTAGGAAAATGACTTCTGGCTAGGTTCTACGACTCCGGCCACGCCTGTTGTCGGTCGCCCAGGGAGAGCGCTGCCACTGCGGCTCGCTTCGAGTGTTATGCCGTAAACGTTGCTTTGTTCGGCAGGGTCGGAGTTGTAAGTCATACAAAATGCTCTTGGTTCTAGTGTGAGACCCCAGACGAATAACGTCTTTCACATGTACCTCACGACTTAAATCCGGACATCCCGTGGTCAATGGCTGACTCCGCCTCATCTTAGGTGGCCACTCAACCGTTCCCCGAGCTGCTGAGAAGGACAAGCGAGCTTTTTGTACACACCGCCGACTAGTTGCTTTGTGCGGAGTTTATGAAAGTGGCGTCAAGGATTGTCGTCTTTCTGGACCAACAGGGGCTCGAGTAACTCACCTTTGGAAGTTTCTTTGTATCCTTAGCTTTAAGCTCTTGGAAACGTTAACTTCTCAAGAGGTTATGTCACGCGCCACTCCAAGCTTTTGTCCACGTGAATAACGTTCGCAGCTTTTCTTGTGAATAAGTCAAACTGTTTTTGTCGAAAGTGTGAATCAGATCTATTAATACGTTAATAGTTACATGTTGCAAGTACGTTTCAACGTTACGGACTGAAAGACGAAACTTTGATAAATAATGTGTTTTCTGTAGATCAGAATAATTTCAGAAGGAAATAAACTTTTCCTGAATTTTGTATTCTTCCGAAAACAACACTGACTTAATAATTTTTCTCCCCTGGTGACCGAAGATTAGAAACCACCCAGTTCATCTTCACGTTCTGATGTCTCCTCGCGCCTCGTTCACGGATGTTTGAACCAAGAGCCACTAGTCTCCGCCCCTGAATTTTGATTGACAGGTTACGAACCAGAGTGAGTCCTCAGGAGGAGGAGCATTGACACTAACTGAACGTGCGTGTGGAAACTAAAACCCATAAACACCTTTATCCTGATAGTCACAAGGCTATCCCCTCGTTTAATCAGCTTCTTCCGAAAAAACCCGTATGGAAAATTACAGAATTCGCGAATCCATTTAGTTTGCTGTGCTTAGTAAACAAAGAACCCTGTCTTTGCTGAATTAGCGACCTTCGAGTGTCGGTTTTCTCGGCACGGGTCATGTTGGCCGAAGATCGGGAGCTCCAGTCGCTAGAGGCCACCGATCAGGTGTCGGTCAGTGTTATGAAGGTGAGGCAGTTTTATACATTTTCTGCTATATTGATAGCTTTAATTAACTGACCAGATTACAAGAGTATTTGGGCGAGCCGTGTTTGTTTGTGTTTTGTGTTTAACGTTTGTAAAGGCAGGTCGTGTTAATTATATAGAAATCCATATGTTTGTAAAAGCAGGTCATGTTGAATTTATAGAAATCCATATGTCTGTAAAGGCAGGTCATGTTGATTTTATAGAAATCCATATGTTTGTAAAGGCAGATCATGTTAATTTTATAGAAATCCATATGTTTTGTAAAGGCAGGTCATGTTGATTTTATAGAAATCCATATGTTTGTAAAAGCAGGACATTGATTTTATAGAAAGACATATGTTTGTAAAGGCAGGTCATGTTGATTTTATAGAAATCCATGTGTTTGTAAAGGCAGGTGATGTTGATTTTATAGAAATCCATGTGTTTGTAAAGGGAGGTCATGTGAATTTTATAGAAAGCCATATGTCTGTAAAGGCAGGTTATGTTGA